GGAGGGTGCGGGGCTGGGGTAGAGCCAGTGCTGCCCAGCTGGGGTGGGGCAGGCGTGGCACAGAGCCGCAGTTCATTTGGAGCGGCACAGGAAGCAGGGGAGCTCCCACCACTGCATGCTGCTCATCCAAGAACCGCTGGTCTGGCAGCTCGTCCGGCGGCTCCCGCTACTGCTCCTGCCGCTTGTTCGGGAAGGCACAGAAGGGGCCCATGCCCCCGGATCTGTGCAGGGCAGGCTGCGGCCAGGCTGCACCAAGTTCTTCCCAGTGGGGCGGGGCTGCGCTGGGAACAGGCTACAGTAAATTTGTGGCTGCAGCCCCTCCCCCATAACCCCTTCCCAGTACAGCCCCACCCTTCTGGGAAGAGTTTGCTGCAGATCTGGTCCCAGCCTGCCCTACCCTATGCAGATCTGGGGGCACACCCCCCCATGCCCTCCTGGACAAGTGGCGGGAGCAGCAGCGGGAGCCCCCAGACAAGCAGTCGGCCATTGGACCAGCGGCACACAGCAGCAGGAGCCACCCTGCTCCTCCCTCCAGACGAGCTGTAGCTCTGTCTCGTGCCTACCTTGCCCTGGCTGGACAGCGCTTATCCCATCTCCCCCTCACCACAGGGGCCTTGATCTGCTCCCCCAGCCCCTTCCCTCCCCTCCCCTCACACCAGATTTACCAGTTGGAGGCAGCTCTCCATGCTGCCAGGCTGTACTCCTTGCCACCTGTGCTGTGCTGCGGCTACGCGCATGCATGGGTGATTTATTGGCCAAATTATCGGCTTGATGTGGCTGATTTCCAATAAATTTTCTCTATATCTGTGCTGATCCAATATTGGACTGATGTATCGGTGCACCTCTATACAAGACTGCACAGAAACTGCTCCAATAGTCTCCTACCTGCTCTTATATGATTCAACGATGCCAACATTCGTAACATGAAAGAAGCTGGAACAGTAATAGTGTTTCTTGTCTCTTCCAGCATTAATTCATTACGAGTTATAACCTGGGATTGGCGGGGTGGGAGGGAGAAAAAAAATGTATTAATAAAATTTCAAATGGTTTTAACCAGGCTTAGTGTGTAGCGTATATAAGACACTATGTAACTTGGACTGTAAAAAAGCTTATAGACGGATTACACAGTAAACAGCAAAAATTATGGAGAAGGGTGTCACAGCCATACACTACAGTGAGGAAAAAACAGCTACAGAAGGGGGAATCTATCCACATATACCTATTTTTCTATCCAGGTAATATTTTTAATGTGATCTTCACTATGGTATTGGAGTGCCTGGTTAGGGATAAACAATGGAGAAAAATAAATGTGACAACAAGATATGACATGAATGACAAGTGCTAAGCGGGAGTGACATACGTTAATGTAGAAAATGAAGCTCTTGCACTAATGCTGGTCCTGACCACGGAAAAGAAGTCACTTCTCTCCTTTGAGTCTCACAGTGTCCCCCCCCCCCCATCATT